ATTAAATTAGACAATGTATTAGTATTTGTGTTGTTGCAACTTGAATGTATTAAATTTTTTTCCTTCAACATTTTAGTCCTCTCCTTTTCATACAGCTTGCATCCTTTCTAAATTATGGGCGCTAATAAGTGGGCAGTCACTGTTGCTATGTCACTCATTACTGATAAAACATTGTTTATTACATGTGATGACACCAGACCATTTGAAACTTGAAAGCAGACAGGGCACTTACTGTAGAAGTAAATTTGATTATCTAACATGAAATACAAAGCAAAACTAGAATTTTGCAAAGCTTCTTGGGTGAAATACCTAGGCAAGTCTAAGCCTTGTTTTTTTTAATATGAATAACGACTGATGGTCAATATTTTTAAATTGTTATATGTTTATAAAATAAGGTACAACTTTTCACTGCATTTGAAACAATTTTTAAAAGATCGCAGATTATGGGTCGATACAAAAAGCTAGAACTATACAAACCAGTTGAAACGTATGATTTTAGAAGAAAAAAATCAACTGTTTTTGCAGAGTAAATATGACTGACTTAGTTTTCAACCACAGGAATACCCCCCAAAATATGAAAATGTTTTGCTATAGTGGAAGAAAATTTTGTTTTTCTTGTTCAGACAGAATACTGGTAGTATGCAAATTTTCAGAGGCTGATACGAGCTTGTCACACATGTTCTTGTCAGTTATATGTTCATTTTAAGAAATGTACAAACTCAGTTTACATAGTACATTAAGGAAAAGTTGCACAACTCGTGGTTGAGACTCAACCACTGTTGGAATTATCAGAGAATTGCATTACCATACCATTGTTTTTCATCTACACACTTTGTTGGTACATGTATTATAACAAAAATGTATACTTTCAAAATTCTCCCACTCATTAATCATAGGAAAAACACATTAGAATATGGTGCCCAGGTTACAGACCTGCATAATGTAGGATCACTATACTTTATAGTACACAAAAATGTACTTTGGGTACAGGCACAAGTTTGTGTTCTAGTCGCAGTTTGTACAGGTCAAATTTTGGACATTTTAAAACCAAGTTTATAGCATGCTTAGCAACTCGCAACTGTATAACAAAGTAAACTCAGAAAGAATCCTTGTGTTCTGATGTTATTGGACGCATGAAATGTTTAAATATTACTAAACTTTCCAGAATTCGTATACCATACTCAAACTGGCAGCCATAGTAGAAGTACTAATTTGCAAATTATAGCATTCTTAGAACACTCCCACTATTTCAGCCTATCAGCATCAAGTAAATGCCTTGTGATGGCCGCTGACAGACAGAGGAAACCCTTCAAATGCGTTCCAGCTAAGAAGTCTAAAACAAGCAGCCTCTTGACTGAGATAGCTCCGCTGTTATGAACATTTCAATTAAAGAACTGAAGATATTAGAAAATAAACAATGTGTATAGCAATCGGACTTGCAGTTTTCAACAAGAATTCAAAAATATCACTTTTTACCAAAAATATTCATCAAAATTAGAGAATTGAAGATATCACGAAATGAACAAATTTGAGAAAGGTCCACATGTAGTACCCATATATGTAATATCAAAGCACAAAAATATTCACCAAAATTAGAGAATTGAAGAAATCTAAGAGAGGTCTACTCCAGGTACATACACACCAAGTATCAAAGCATTCAGGCTTGTAGTTTTCAAGAAGTCAAAAAAAGTAAAACATTGACACGGATGACGATGGACAATCAGTCATTCGTATGACAAAGTCGCCAGCGGAGCTAAAAAGTTCTAGTGTAGATCGAACGACTGCTTAACCACAAACTATCAAAAGTCAACAAATCATTAGTCTTGTTTAAATTAATTCGGTGTATCACTATGATATACAGAAAATGGTACATGCCATGGGTAATCAGAGTCCTTGGTAATTATTTAACCATACATTTTGAACCAAGTATCTTGGGATAAGGAAAATTTCGGTAATCTCTATGTGGTTGTATTTATATCACTACGAAAAGATACTTTATCCAAACCATTCGGTTATATTAAATAATTACCTACTACCATTTTCAGTATATTTCACAAATTTTAAAATCTGTTTAGTGTGTTTGTTGAAGCTCAAAACACACAAGCTCTCCTACATGTACTGTGATTTTGTACAGCAGTAATTTCTTGTGTTTATTTATGTAACACAAGACAAA